CTTTCGACGTTTTATGGTCCAAAGAAAATGTAGGTCCGCCGTAACGCGGTCTTCTCCAATATATGATTAGGGCTTCTCTACGTCGAGTGAGTTTTGAAAAACGAACATGTGATACGGAGAACATGATCAGTATTTTATATAAAACGTTCAACCAGTTGTTTTACTAGTTTTGTTGTTTCTTGTTAATATTCGTACAGTATTTGCGCGACGTTCTTTTAATTCTAAATACATGAGCGATAAGTTATTTGGAAAATATATAGATCTTCCAGGAAATTGTCTCTCGAAATTTTCCTTCTAGTCTTTTTAATAATAATATTTTATTTAATCTTCTTTGGTGGTTGTTTTCTCAAGTATACGCTAATATCATTAAATTATTTTCTATTTCACTGGTTTGGTCAAGAAGTGACACAATAACAAGCCATGGGCCTATTTCTTCAGTACCGACAATTCTATTCTATTATATTAACATTTCTTTTCGCTCCAATATTAGGTAACTTGTAAATATTTCAAAAGTTGTTTTATTACAATATTGTTCTGCAACGTTCTGTGACCGTTACCTGCACTTTTTTGCTTTGGTAGCGGTGCTGTGTATCGCTGTATATCAAGAACGCACAATCATTCTTATATTCTAAATTAGATGCCAACCAAAAATTTCAGGAAAATTTGAAAGAAGTAAGCGAAAAAGTTACTACTTATAATCATAATGAACCAAACTTGACTTTTAAAGATTGTCATGGGGAATAAAAGATATGGAAATTACAAACTTCGTAAGGCTTCACGCAAAAATCTCCATTTTTATTGAGTAGGAAACTGAAGGATTTTTATGAGTTTTGTTAAAAATGTCCATTTTTATGCTAAAAATAAAAAAATAAAAGAATTTTATCCTTGAAATTAATTTAGACAATTTTCCTTCTGAGCGCTTCTTGGAAATCTTAATTGCGAATAAATGAAGATCGGCGTCGATGACGCTACCAACATTTTCAATAGGGGTGACTGGAGCTCGGCAATAATGGGAGTTCCGTGAAAATGTATTCATTTCAATTCTATTAATTTTTTTCGGAAGTTGTTTCGAATTATTGTTTGATTGGTGCGGGCGGCGCCGAAGTGCTCTCTTCTACTAAGTTACACTTCCTTTTCTTCTCTCTTCATTGCACATCTGTTCCTCATTTTATCATCGTCTTCCTCAAGTTTCTCCCCACTTATCACTTCTCTCTTCTAATCACTTACTAAACTTGCTCTTTCGCTTCTTATTCTCCTTCCACTTCCAATTTTCTGTCCATTAGTCTCAACTCCTGATCCTCTTTACTTCTTTCTTTCTTTCCTTCTTAATTAGCTTCCGTCTCACTTCTAATTTCATCCATCGCTGTCTATTCTATTTCTATTCTCATACCTCCCTCTCACTTTCCAGTCTATTCTCTCTCTTCCCTCCTTTTCACTCTACCCTATCCCGTTCTCCTGCCACTCTTTCCGTCTCCACGCCCCTCGTTCGTACCCTCACAAGGCCATCAGATGGAGGGTGTCGTCAGATTTACGACGCTCCTAACGACCAAAATTGACCTAAAAACCCACGGCCGGCGACTGTACCCTGACTGTCATAGCCACTGTCACTGTCTACATTCACTTGACTACAGTTAATGACGCAAGTACAGCGTAATTTACAGATGAAAATTAATCCTTGCAAAGTTACATCGAAGACCACACGGTAATAAGTTTATATTCATAGCCGCAATGTTAGACATCATCTAACTAACGTTCCTGTTATCATAAATTTTCCAATTTACACGTGGCAATCAAATTTTGTGTGTAATGCAGAATATGAATCTGTATGATCCTCAGAATGATTTCAACATGGGATGTCACTCAGCTCAAATTAGAGCAGCTCGTTGAGAACCTTAAGCTTAATTATAATACCATCAATGGCATCATGACGAGCAAATATTTTATAAAATTATAAAATAATACTACTCAAATATTTCATATATTGCGCAGCATTGAATTGTAAATAAACAATAATTAAATTTCCGATAATTCGTAAGCGATAAACTTTCAATAATTCTTAAGTGATAAGCTTTCGGTAATTCGTAAGCGATCAAACTAGCGTAATTTCGTTAATGTTGCTTGATTAGCCATGAGGAGGTGTGTTGATGAAACGACGGGTTTGAAAAGTTATTCAACTTTAACATTTGCGAGTCCCTGTCTAATTAAGTTTCATTAGTACGCATCTTCCTCATTTAATTTCGATTCAAATTAAATTCTAATCCAATTACAATCACAGAAGTTGTTCTAGTACAAATCGAGATCCATGCAGGGCGTTGGTCTGAAAGGCGGCCAAAGGCCTCGTAAGAATCTGCTACGATTTTCTACAAGGCAGAGAAGCATCGATATCATTGAAAAATCGAGTTTATTATCCAAGAATTGGTAGAAGATGATGGAGCTCATCGCGGCCGGCGTAAATTTTGCGGAGAAGGTAAAAATTTGTGGTAATTGCATTGGGGATTTACGGCGCAATTGTCTTAGGAAATTGACTTCTTTGCCTGGGGAGGACGCGACTGCTTGTTAATTGTGATTGGTTTTACCCAAGAGAAAAACGCGATTCAGGTTGGGGGATGACACGGCCACCCGTGAGCTCTTTGTTGGCTGGGATGAATTTATTCATATGAATATAAATGAATGAATGCCAAGTCCTGCAGTGCACGGCAGCCTGGCTCTGCTAGCTCCGGAAATGAAATGCGCCGACTTCCTTTCCAGGATGGGTTTCTGTTGAAGATAACTCCGTATCATGAATACGCCCTTGATCTGTCAGAGCTGGAGTGCAGACACCTCCGTATCATGGATACGCAGCCGGTGCTGTGGTGCAGACACCTCCGTATCATGGATACACTGCCGGTGCTGTGGTGCAGACACCTCCGTATCATGGATACACTGCCGGTGCTGTTATGGATACGCCTCCAGTGCAGGGGTGCAGACACCTCCGTATCATGGATACACTGCAGCCGGTGCTGTGGTGCAGACACCTCCGTATCATGGATACACTGCAGCCGGTGCTGTGGTGCAGAAACCTTCGTATCATGGATACGCCGCCGGTGCTGTGGTGCTGACACCTCCGTATCATGGATACGCCTCCAGTGCAGGGGTGCAGACACCTCCGTATCATGGATACGCAGCCGGTGTTCAGGTGCAGACACCTCCGTATCATGGATACGCAGCCGGTGCTGTGGTGCAGACACCTCCGTATCATGGATACACTGCAGCCGGTGCTGTGGTGCAGACACCTCCGTATCATGGATACNGCATGGATACGACCAGGAGAGGCATGGAGAGGCATGGATACGACCAGGAGAGGCATGGAGAGGAATGGATATGACCAGGAGAGGCATGGAGAGGCATGGATACGACCAGGAGAGGCATGGAGAGGCATGGATATGACCAGGAGAGGCATGGAGAGGCATGGATATGACCAGGAGAGGCATGGAGAGGTATAGGGCGGTATGGAGGCAGTACCACAGCGCAGGTCATCAGATAGCAGGAGAAGCGGCAGATTATAGAAGCGCAGCGTCATGCTGCCTCTCATGTGTATTGTGTGCGTGTCTGTCTGTGTCTGTGTGCGTGTGTGTGTCTGTGTGCGTGTGTGTGTCTGTGTGCGTGTGTGTGTGTGTGTGAGCCTCGTGTTTGTCTCCCGTGTGATTTGAATACTCTCTTGTATGTCTCGCTGTATTTCCACTATAGGAAACATTCTAACCCATAACACAGCTGCAGTTTATTGCCACTCCGACATTCGCAGCAGCTTTGTCACATCTTCTGTCCAATCTGCTCGGTGATGCTTGATCACTTCTTCAATGGTCTGTAAATTTTATAATTGCTGATAAATACGTGACGTAAATACGTGATGTAAATACGTGATGTAAATACGAGATTTAAATACGAGATGTAAATACGAGATGTGAATACATGATGTAAATACGAGATGTAAATACGTGATGTGAATACGTGATGTGAATACGTGATGTAAATACGTGATGTAAATACGTGATGTAAATACGTGATGTGAATACGTGATGNATGTAAATAAGTGATGTATATACGTGTCGATGTAAATAAGTGATGTATATACGTGTCGATGTAAATAAGTGATGTATATACGTGTCGATGTAAATAAGTGATGTATATACGTGTCGATGTAAATAAGTGATGTTTCCTACAATCAACAGGGTGTAGAATTAAAGAAATGATGAAGTGAGCTTTTTATTATAATTCACACAACAAAGTTTAGAATTTGCCTAGAAACGCTACGTTGAAACTAGAAATTTTTGCTCCGTTGAAACACAGATTTTAGTGCTGCCAAAAGATTTTTAATTAAAATTAAATAATTAATTAATTTTTAATTAAAATTTTAGTGTTTTCAGCCGTAAGGAGCCGAATCCTGATTTCAACCTGCAGGATACGGTGCATAATAAGTTGGAGGTCTCGGGTTGGAACTCAGTCGAAGGAACTGAGTGATGTATGAGTGACGTAAAATAATGTTAGGACGGTCAGTCTCTAGAGCGTCATGAATGTATACTGTTCATGAATGTATACTGTAGAAGAAATAAATTTAAATTATGAATCGTTCAATTAGTCCGGGTAAGCTAAGTCAGGTAATAAGAAATTACAATAAAATTACTCGTACACAGAACAGCTCTACGAACCTGAGGTTGAAATGCCCAGTGTGGTGATCAATTTATGAAAGAAGAATAATTGGGGATAATAGTGGAAATCGGATTAAGGGATGGTGTAAGCTAGACACGAGAAATAAGAAGAACAGTTGAAGGTTTTGATGCTTAAATTGGAAATTAAGATTAATACTTAAGGCTAAAGTTTGAATAGTGATCATCGGAGGTAACGTAGTAAAGTAAGACACTTCTAGAGCAAAGAACACTAAACTAGAATTGATTGATTTGGTTTATATACGCTATTAATTGAATTTGAATCATGAAATTCAATTGAAAATACATTATATTCACGTGTGCTGTAGGGGTCTGGAGTGCTGTGAGTAGTCTGGAGTTTTGTGAGGAGTCTGGAGTGCTGTGAGGAGTCTGGAGTGTTGTGAGGAGTCTGGAGTGCTGTGAGGAGTCTGGAGTGTTGTGCGCAGTCTGGAGTGTAGTGAGTAGTCTGGAGTGCTGTGAGGAGTCTGGAGTGCAGCGAGGAGTCTGGAGTGTTGTGAGGAGTCTGGAGTGTTTTGAGGAGTCTGGAGTGTTGTGAGGAGTCTGGAGTGTTATGAGGAGTCTAGAATGTTGTGAGGAGTCTGGAGTGTTGTGAGGAGTCTGGAGTGTTGTGAGGAGTCTTGTTGTGCGCAGTCTGGAGTGTTGTGAGGAGTCTGGAGTGTTGTGCGCAGTCTGGAGTGTTGTGAGGAGTCTGGAGTGTTGTGCGCAGTCTGGAGTCGTCTGAGGAGTCGTGTGGAGATTACCTGGATTTGGGGGATGCAGCGCGGAGATCAGGCGGATTCAGACGATCGAAATGTTGCAGGCGATGAGGGCGACGAGCGACCAGCAGGCGACGGCGGTGTACAGAGGGCAGGGGGCAGGGGGTTCACAGCAGGCATATACAATAGGCAATTAATACACACCGGGCATTATATACAGAGAGCTGGTACACAGCAGGTACACAGCACGCTGTGTGATGTACAGGAAATTATGACGAGGCTGCTAGAGACTCTCATTTTCATCATGCATGATATTGATAAAACCGGAAACATTCATGTTGCCTTTCATGCAGCTGCCAACGGCGCCAATGTTGCCATTGTGGCCGATTCTGGCACTGTCGCCATTGTTGCCACCGTTGTTTAGGCAGTAGCTATTCCAAATTGTTGCCACGCCGCTGTTTCTGTTACCTCCATTGCCATTGTGGCCATTGTTGCAATTACTGCCACCGTTACCACTGTTGCCATTGTTGCCGCCGCTGTAGCCAATTACAAGTCGACACGAAGTTATCAACATTTGATGTTGTATGTCCATTACATTATAATGTGAACACCGCGCACGAGATTGAGTTGCTAACACCGGCGCCGTATTAGCAAGTCTTGGCCGTAACGTCGGCTGAGGGACGGCCGAGCGGACGGGCGTGGAGACGTGGCTGGAATATAACGAAGTTTCAACGTTTAACTAACGTCATTAAACTTATGTTGAATTATGCTTGGAAATCATCACCCCACGCAACTTCCTTGGAGTCCAATTCCAACAGCAGTTTTACGAAGCGTTGAAGTAACTGCATCAACGTTGAACCTTGACTATAAAATGCAAATTAATGTAAAATGTTCAAACCATAAACGAAAAGGTGTTCCATAATTCGTCTCATTGACCAGCCTTGTACCACAATATTATCATATATACTTTTAATTCCTGTGAGAATGCTGGCTGTTCATCATACGATGCTCATATCGGTGGCATTCCAACATAATAACATCGTTGATCTGCGGAAGACGACTTTATTTTTAAATGCGACATACATATCAATAATACGATCTGAACGTCACACTTTTATGTTGAAAGAACGTCGTACGAGTAACGTTAGTAAAAATTTGAACTGTTACGTCAACGCGACGTTGCGAGAATAATGTTGATTCTGATTTCATCCTGAACCAATATTCAACATGACATAAGTCATGAACTGAGGTTGTTTCAACGTTGAGCCTAGCAAATATAGCCTGCTGGACATTCTTAAATGCACAAATTTTCTTACATAAGCTACGATAATAACAATGACGATGAGGTAACCTGATAAATAAATATAAAATTTTCCGCCCAAAATACGCAGAAAATCATTGCCACTTCTCATACAATGATATTATAGGCGTTTTATCGTCGGCCATCTCTATTACCACCACCAGCGGCTCTTGGCTAGCCCGCTGCGGGCGCCAGGCAATCGATCGCAAGGACCAATAATTGTTCAGGCAGTCGCAGAATATCGACTAATGTCCGCGGGGACTTCTGTTAATTATTCCTAGAAATTCGATTGCCTGCTCGTGCGTGGTTCTATTTATTATTGCACTTCACTTTACGCGAATGATTTTATTTGGACAGAAATAAAATTATATTTATGAATATTAATTTATTTATGAAATAGAGCCGATGGTCGGCAATTAATACGCCGCACATTACTTATACATTTATTTAATACACCAGTGGACGGCCTGTGATGATGTGGCGTCCAGTGGACGGCCTGTGAACCCTGCTATTTATAGGGTGGGTGGTGCAAATGAGTCAGTATGCACTGCAAATGAGTCAGTATGCAGTGCAAATGAGTCAGTATGCACTGCAAATGAGACAGTATGCACTGCAAATGAGACAGTATGCACTGCAAATGAGTCAGTATGCAGTGCAAACGAGTCAGTATGCAGTGCAAATGAGACAGTATGCAGTGCCATGCTTGAGAAAAAAGCACTTCAGTAGGAATATATGCAGAGGGTCTTGACGTAGCAACACAGGTGTGATTTTTACAGTTTATTTATTTTTTGATTTTTTTTTTCAAAATACTGAGGCTCATGTATGATTAATGGAGGGAGCGGAATTAACTATACTTAGTTTTAAGTGAGTTTGATCTAAATAAATATTTTGATTTTACGACATTTCTATTGAATGAGATTAAAAAGAATTTCTTTCAAGAAGAACAATAGACATGAGATTTTATAGTAGTAAAGTAAACTATAGAGGCATGTGAGTCATGAACAAACGCTTTACTCATCTTAAAAATGAGTCCCCCTGACTCACCTATTGCTCTGAGTGTACTCAACAGGTGTACACGCAGCCTCGTCGTGGTGCTCTATAGATTTATTGACTTCGTTCTTCTTCTTTGTGTGGTCTGTGTTAATGTCCTTTGTGTGGTCTGTGTTAGTGTTCTTTATGTGTTTGTGTTCTTTGTGTGTTTGTGTTCATTGCATGTTAGTGTTGTCTTTCTGTTAGGATCGTTTGTTTTCATGTCGTGTGCGTGTTAAAGTAATTTTGTGTGGTTGTGCTTCATGATTGTGCCCTATTTTGTGTCCTGATTGTGTCCTACTTTGTGTCCTGATTGTGTCCTATTTTGTGTCCTGATTGTGTCCTAATTTGTGTCCTGATTGTGTCCTAATTTNCTTCGGGGGCCTTGTATAAACCATGAGCATACTTGTATACTTCAATGAGGTCCCCACGCAGACGTCGATAACTGAGGCTTGGAAGCTTCATAATCATAGAGGTATGGTAAACGGTATATGGTATAGATGGTGTGGTATGATTAATGCGGTAGTGAAATTAAGTACACTTAGTTTTAAGTGAGCTTGATCTAACTAAATAATTTGATTTTACGACACTTCTGTAGAATAACATTAAAAATAATTTCTTTCAAGAAGAACAATTGACATGACATTCTATTATAATTTTAGGATAAACCTGATACAATAGTCAAGTATAGAGGCTTGTTAGTCCTGAACTAACGCTGTACTAGTCCTAGTGAGTCCCCCTGACTCACCTATGGCTCTGAGTGTACTCAACAGGTGTACGCGCAGTAGTGTCGTGCTGCTCTATAGATTTATTGACTTCGTTCTTCTGCTTTGTGTGGTCTTTGTCTGTGTTTTTTGTGTGTTTGTGTTCTTTGTGTGATTGTGTTCTTTGTGAGTTTGTGTTCTTTGTGTGCTTGTGTTCTTTGTGTGTGTGTTCTTTGTGTGTTTGTGTTCATTGCATATTACAGCTATCTTTCTATTAGGATCGTTTGTTTTCATGTCGTGTGTGTGTTTAGAGTCGTTTTGTGTGGATGTGCTTCATGATTGTGTTTCCTGATTGTGTGAAAAGTTTGATCTGAGTGTGTACTTGTGTTTAATAAGTGTGCTTGTGTTAAAATTCATACATGCATTTTGTACGTGTTCATTTTGTTATCCTACACGTTAATTTTTAGTACATGCAGCGGTTGTGAGGGAAGCAGCAGTTGTGAGGGAAGCAGCTGTTGTGAGGGAAGCAGCGGTTGTGAGGGAAGCAGCTGTTGTGAGGGAAGCAGCGGTTGTGAGGGAAGCAGCTGTTGTTGTTGTGAGGGAAGCAGCGGTTGTGAGGGAAGCAGCAGCAGTTGTGAGGGAAGCAGCGGTTGTGAGGTTGGATGAGGGTATGCCTCACCATTACCTTAAAAAATATAACTCAGTACTCACTGCAGTGAGTGACAGAGAGCGCATTTTCTCGTCGACGAAAACGTGAAGTCACGGACGGACAGACGGAAAGACGGACACACGGACAGACGGACTGACAGACAGACGGACAGACGGACATGGCGAGCACAATAGTGCATTTTTTTCATAAATGAGAAAATGCACTAAAAAGAGCGTTGTCAACGATTCAGTATAAACGTCGCGTCAACATGACATGCATTAAGTGAGGGTAATTAGTATGGGTAATAAATGCTACTATAAACACGGTGCGACACTGAAATAAAATGGTGCCTACAAGCCACTACATAATCTACAGTTACCGTAGGAATAACATTGATGAGTGTTTACAACTGAACGATTAGATGACCACCAGAAGCTGGCGGGCAAATACCGTAGAGTTGGATTCATTTCTGTCGAACCGACTCTATAATATACATTAGTTTTGTAATCCATATATCATGACATACAGTATATAGCTCATATATTATATATTATCTTATAGATTATATAGAATAGACGGATTTTATTATTATCATGTATGTCCTTATTTACACATATGACATATATTATATATTATATTATTGAATATATGAAATTAAAAAATCTAGCTTGTACTTCAATCAAAAATGTGCCATCAAGCGCTGCAGATATTAAAAAAATGGCTGCCAAATGAACTTGTTTGAATGTTCGCTACCTTGCGAAATTTACGACTTTGAATTAACGTCGCTCATATTGAGAAGTTCACAAATTTCCAAGAAAATTGCTTTATGTTTAAATTATATTCATATGAAACGAAGTGAATTAAAACCATAGAGAATGGAGTTTTCTTACCTAATATCGCTAGAGTTCTTTCCAGTCCGAGGCTAGGCAAGATGGTTAATTTTTGTCACATGATTCATGCTTTTATTTAATGCGTTTTTGCTATGGTTTTTATCATGTTAGAAAAAAAGGGATATTGTATGCTATCTTTTTCTCTAATAGTTTATGCTCCTAACTATGCACGTTCTAACTACTTCCTAGCTATACATGTCCTAACTATTTCCTAACTATACATGTCCTAACTATTTCCTAACTATACATAACTTAACTATTTTTTGAACATATGATCTAAGAACGGCTTATAAAACCATAGGCGGTCAGTCATTGAGGGTTGGCACTATATAGGTTGAAAAATTATAGGTTAGTACTGCTGATGTTAATTGGTCTTATGTTTGCTGATGTTAATTGGTCTTATATGTTTGCTGTTGTTAATTGGTCTTATGTTTGCTGTTGTTAATTGGTCTTATGTTTGCTGATGTTAATTGGTCTTATGTTTGCTGTTGTTAATTGGTCTTATGTTTGCTGTTGTTAATTGGTCTTATGTTTGCTGTTGTTAATTGGTCTTATGTTTGCTGATGTTAATTGGTTATATGGGTTTCCAGGAGATTATGCAGTATTTTCATCATTGCATCCGCTTCACCGCATCACGTCAGTCGCTGCATTATCAGGTCACCGCGGAAATGATGTTTGCATTCAAATTGGCAGTGAAATCTGACTTTTGAGGCACAACTTAAAAAATGCTTTAATTCATCATACAGCATTCAGCTATAAACATAATGAACTGTTGTTCAGAGATTACAACGTGAATAGATTTTGAATTGGATATTTATTCCTTCGAATTTTATGCTTAACCCTAAGCCAAAGGACTGATTCTATCGCTTCATAATTGATTGTTTATATTCCTTATTCGAACTCCTAATTTCTTCGGAACATTAATCCATAGCGGGAAGTGGTACGGTTGCCGTAATGTTCCCGACAGCCGTACCGCGCAGGGTGGTATCCTTCTTGGACGTAGTCCCAGCAGCCGTCCCAGTCGCTATCTTTTTCGTGAATGTATTATCGTCTCGCCGCTATTTAGATGCCTCACGGTCATCATGGCCGTGAAGTTATCACCGGCCGTAATTAGGTACCTGGACGATGGCTTCTATTTATACGGTTTTTCTCTTAGCTTGTTGCCGTATTGATGATGACCGTGGCCGTATTTTCAGAGCAAGTTACTGGAATGATGTTGTTGACACTTCTATATATACGTATAGCGTTGATGTTGCCCGAACATAGCGTTAGCCGAACATTGTTGAAGCTCTTATGTCGGGGCTTAATGTTTTATTGATGAATCAAAGATTCTAGTGGCTGATACTCTTCGAAACCGTCAGGCCGCCTGCATAGCCGTAGCCGTTACCGACGTCTGCGGAGCTGCGAACCGCGCTTGTGTGACCGGGACTTCAGAAGAGCTTCTGTGGCGGGAGCTCTGGCTCCTTATATGTTACGTGGCCCATATGCCCGCCCCCGTCGCCAGCGTCTCAACACTTGCCTTTGAAAAATTCGTCGTGATAATTGCCTTTGAAATCGCCTTTGAAATTCGTCGTGAAAAGTACGGTGCATTACGAAGTAAAGCAAGCTCCTCGGTCTCGAAACAATCTCGACGTGCATCCACTACAACGCTAAATAACGTATTCCTAGCCATCGCAGCGCCTGCGCTCTTACTTTCAATTGATTCATAACTCAAGTCATTTTATTAAGACCCCTCAAATGTGTTAACTACACCAACGATGCATAGCGGGGTTACCAGGATGAACTCTTTGCAGGGTCTGACCGGGGTTAATCCCTTAATTAAAGGGTTTACTAGGACAATTTTTACATAACACCTACAACAGTTCGGAGGTGCCAGCGGGTTCTTCGTATATATCAGCGTCCGGGGCTGCAAGATACAAGGATTGGTTTAGCCGTTGCTTTGTGCCCGAAAAATCGAGTTTGCGAAGAGTTAAGCGTCCGGCGAAGGCGGCAAAGGTCCGCAAAATTGGCGAAGTTTTGGCAAAGTTTAGAGCTAAAGTTTTGATGCGTCGCCCTGTGTCAGGAGGCGATTTTGACGCGAGATATGGCGAGTCCACCAGCTGGCTGGGCCACCATCTGCAGCGGTCACCAGCTGGTGAGGCATCAGTAGACTAGACCATCAGCGAGCACTGGCCACCAGCTGGTATAAGTTCACCATCTGCAGCGGTCACCAGCTGGTGAGGCACCAGTGGACTGGACCATCAGCTGGCACTGGCCACCAGCTGATATGGCCACCATCTGGCCGAGCCAACACCAGGCACCATGCAGGGCCACGAGCTGGCACGGGTCATTAACTGGTAAAGGACCACCATCTGCAGCGGTCACCATCTATCAGCAGCCACCAGCGGCAGTCACTCGTATTCACTGCCGAGGAATGTGTCAGCTCTCAGCGCTCGTCATCATGAAGAGCAATGGAAATTCAACGAGAGTAAAGATTAAATTATGATATCAAACGTGAGGCTGAGGCTTATGGAATATCGAACATGAGGCTGAGTCCGAACAGAGGCTGAGGCTTATGGAACATCGAACATGTGGCTGAGGCTTATGGACTACCGAACATGAGGCTGAGGCTTATGGACTACCGAACATGTGGCTGAGGCTTATGGACTACCGAACATGAGCCTGAGGCTTATGGACTACCGAACATGAGGCTGAGGCCTTTGGACTACCGAACATGAGGCTGAGGCTTATGGACTACCGAAAATGAGGCTGAGGCTTATGGAATATCGAACATGTGGCTGAGGCTTATGGACTACCGAACATTAGGCCGAGGCTTATGGAATATCGAACATGTGGCTGAGACTTACGGACTACCGAACATGAGGCTAAGGCTTATGAACTACCGAACATGAGGCTGAGGCTTTTCGAATATCGAACATTGGCGCTCAGGCAAACAGAAAATCAAATGCGAGGCTGTGGAAGAACAATGGTTGACAACATTGTCTGCTCTACCGTGATTAACAATGGTTAACGAAATTGACTATTCAGGTGTCAAACGTTAATGAAGTTTTCTGTTGTTAAGTTACTTGCCGTGGACGACTTGTTTTGCGTTGACTTGTTTTGCGTTGACTCATTCAAGTGAATTGATTTGTGACGAAGCGGTAAGCTCACTCTTGGTGAGTCATCTTTACTCACTTATTTCTCTAATTGTAGGGACAGTCAAGTTCTGTGCAGCACGTTCGATGGAGACCATCAGTCGCGTTGATACAGTTGGAGTCCTGATGGAAGGTGCCAAGTGGCGTTCACAGTTGCGTTGACAACACGACTGAGCCACTCACCATTACCGCTGAGGTTGGATAGCGTGAAATATGATCCATTATGGATTTTCTGGGCAAAATTTATCCCTCAACAGTCGCAATTTGCTGTATAACAAATTTTTACGAAGGGTAAAGAATTGAGAATCATTAATGTTTGACAAGATTATAACAATTCTTCTTCGTGTATAGTTAGAAATCTAAATACTAAAGAGAAAGTTTGAAGAATCTTCGGCTCTAGTCTGCAAATTTTGAAGCCCTTTTGTTTGACTAAAACGAAGATTAAATAATGAAAATATTTCAGGAGTGAACATTATTATAGTGAATATTATTATTTTCAATAATAAAGCACCCTTCAAGTAACTAGGTTTCGTGAAAAAAATATGAATTATTCTATCTATTTTCCGCTCCAACAAACTTAATTTGGATTCCCTGGTTAATGTAGAATTTGTGAGACAAAAATTACTGGAATCAACCACCGAAAGTTTCCTCTGGCAGAACCAAGGTATAATTAAAGATTGTACACAAAAACGTAAACGACTTGAATGAAGCAAAAACAGAAGCTCGGCGACTGGACGAAAGTAAAATAAGAGCGGAGCGTTTGGCTGCATATGAAGCAGCACTGCCCCCATCACCAGCTCGTCGTTCATTGACTTAAGCATCGTTCTTTACGAGTCTTTATTATTAGCGCTCGACAGTTTGATCACAAGTTACTGGCGGACGTAAATAAGCTTCCATTGAGCGCTAATTGTCCAGAGGCCATTACCTGAGTCCGACACAACCTGCCATTTGGCGGCGCTTGAAAAAACGCACGAGTGCAATTTTAGGGACTGATGCAGGAGTGTATATA